ATATTTAATTTCATATGTCAGAGTCTTTATAAGAAAAAAGAAAAAGGTTTCAATCTTCAGTTCATAGTAATTTCAATTTTTGTCATATTTAAAAAGAAAAGAAAGTGTGGAAAATTTTTCAGTTTGGAACAATAAAATGCCAGAGTGAATATTAAAATGAGGAGGGAAAAGGATTGCTTGTGGATTGAAAATGAGAGAAATGAGTTTCTCTCTTTACTTTTTCTTTTCTTTTTTTTTGGACAAAAATAATACATTATATAAACATTATATAATACATTAAAATAATACATTATATAAACATTATATAAAAATAATACATTATATACTACATTATTTTTATTATTTCTGTACATAATTTTCTGAAAATATTTAATTTCATATGTCAGAGTCTTTATAAGAAAAAAGAAAAAGGTTTCAGTCTTCAGTTCATAGTAATTTCAATTTTTGCTATATTTAAAGAAGAAAAGAAAGTGTGGAAAGAAACATTATTGAGATGAATCCAAGATTGTGAACATCACGTTTTAAAATGAGTCCATGAATTTTTTCACGGATATGTTAAATATCCAAAAAAATAATCAAACATTTTCCCTAAGGTAAAATATTGATAAAATTTAATGTCCGAATTGTAAATATTCTGTGTAATATATTTTTCATATTTTGGTAAAAACACACTTGTATTAAAGTTATATAACTTTCACAATTGTCTGGAATTTTTTTGGCAACAATAACATCAATCATTACAAAAATTGTAATTCCTTATCGAAGTTGCGTGTCGTGTGAACGAGATATAATAAATTGTTTCCTCCCATCGTTCATTTTTCTTTTATTATCAACAGTTGGCTGATAAGCTACGTCATTAATAAATATTACATTATCAATGACCTCAAGTGCTGTGCAACAAATTTTAATTTTCTCTTTCTACGCTTTAACATCCAACTTTATCTTGATTTAAAAATTTAGGCTCCAAGTACAAATATAAAAATTGTCTTTCAAATGCGAAAATTTTCAATTTCGAACGGTTAATGTTGCACAAAGACTTCTCACATAGAGTGAAATTCTACAAATTTTCTCAAACGTATATAATAACATATATTTTCACATTAAAAATACTTGAAAGTATTTAACCCTTTGAAGTGATAATTTGCTACAAAACTTGTTTTGAAAATTATAAAACTTTCAAAAAAAATTTTCAAAAGTTATAAAAATAAATTACATAATAATAATAATAATGATAAATTTTATAATAAAAACGTTGAATTTTATCATTGTACATTAATTTACCTATGATAAATACAAGTGGACTAATAGATAAAAAATCAACAAATCGAGTTCAAAGGATTAAATAAAAAAAGATTATCAGAAACTTCTTTTTGATGACAATTGAGTAGTTTCTTGCTTTCTCTGGCACGTAACTATCGGAGGCACCTCGCACACGCATTTTACATTGGCAGAGAAAATGTCAGTTTGTATTTGATTCAACTCGTCGCCTATATTCAGCATAAGGTTACCATACTGACACATTTTGTTTCCTGCAAAACCAGTGTGATAAAACCTTTATTGACTACGTTGTTTCTCGGAGAATTTACAATAATGACAGGTCAGTCACTGAAACTGTGTTAAATTGATTAAACTATTATTTCGTTTCAGTCGGTAGTTGTTGGATTGTGTCAGATTATAATTGCATGTCTATAAATTGATATTTATTGATTTGCACATTGTTGCAATCCTTTCTGTGCAAAGTTTATTAAAGTTTATTAACAGCATGAAGTTATTTGGTGAAAACTTTTAATTCAAAAGTCTCAATTATGTGTGCGTATCAATCAGTTGAAGAATAATAATAAATTATTTTCAATGGATTTCGCGATTATTACCTGTAACTATCAGGTTCATCGAATTAATCGATTTTGTATATCTTCTTTTTGTAATAATTACTAATACTAAAACTTAAATACGTTGTGTTTAATATTCTGAGTAATTTTTTACATTTTAATTCTCCAGTTTCATAATAGAAAGAGTAAATATCGTAAAGAAAACGTGTTTAATGAATAAAACCAGAAAATCATTATATTTCTGTACTTTTAATAAAGAGGATGTAATATATGAATATAATAAAATATTAAATGTATAATCATATACATTTAATATTTTATTATACATAAAATGTAACCATAAAATTCTGCATGAAACTTCATATGAAAAACAAACTGATCACAAGCAGATTAATGACAATCTGTTATAATGTAATATAATACAATAAACATAACATAATATTCCACAAGCAGATTAGTAACAATAAAACATGCAATCAATAAATCCCATTAATCTCAGTCTGAAAGTTTTGAGAGAACACATTCTTCACGTACCTTTCTCAGAATTCGATGTGATTCTGTCTTTATGAACAACGACGTCGCTTTTCACCGCTGTAAAAACGTCATTTTCGTTTTTTAGTATCAATGTACGAAAAAATTTAAAATACCTTCGTCATAAGCGTCGAATTAAAAATAGTTTCCTATATTCCATATATATCAATATATTAATATACATCAATATATCGATATATATCATATATATCACCATATCAATATATCAATATATATCAACATATAAGTATACCAGTATATCAATATATAAATATATCGATATATCAATATATCAGTATATCAATGTATCAATATATCAGTGTATCAGTGTATCAATATATCAGTATATTAATATATCAGTATATTAGTATATCAATATATCAATAGATCAATATATATATAATATATCAACATTCTCTTTTTTTGTAACGTTTATTTAAAGGATTAAAATAATACGAAGAACACAGGAAGATTAAATAAGATTTTTAACTTACAGCATCTATAAACAAAAGCGCAGGAATCGTATGGATCCATATATATCACCATATCAATATATCAATATATATCATATATATCAACATATCAACATATCAGTGTATCAGTGTATCAATATATCGATATATCAATATATCAGCATATCAGTATATCAATATATCAACATATATAATATATCAACATTCTCTTTTTTGTAACATTTATTTAAAGGATTAAAATAATCTGAACAACACGGGAAGATTAAATACGATTTTTCACTTACGGCATCTATAAACAAAAGCGTAGGAATCGTATGGAGCCATATATATCACCATATCAATATATCAATATATATCATATATATCAACATATCAGTGTATCAGTATATCAATATATCAATATATAAATATATCGATGTATCAATGTATCAGTATATCAATATATCGATATATCAGTATATCAATGTATCAATGTATCAGTATATCAATATATCAGTATATCAATATATCAGTATATCAATATATCAATATATCAGTATATCAATATATCAATATACACAGGAAGATTAAATACAATTTTTCACTTACGGCATCTATAAACAAAAGCGCAGGAATCGTATGGATCCTGGAAATAATACACAGGTGCACACTTTTGACGAATTTGAGCAGCTTGTTCAAACAGAGGGGAGCAAGTGTCACGTTTCAATTCTTCACAGAAGGGCTCGATATTTTCACCTAAACGAACGATTTATATTACGTATATTGTCAAATTAATTATGAAGTTACAATATAAAAGATATTCTAATGTTATCTGCTGAATGTTGAATTTATTCGTGAATGATTAAATTTGCCAGTAATTGTATTTTTCATCTTTTTAAAGCGAGACACGAAGACAAATATTTATTGCAATATTCATGTAACTCATTAAACTATTTTATGAGTTGCGACATACAATAAATATTATACGAGGAGTTCAGAAGTTATTTACCATTAAAAATATATTTAAAAATATATTAATATTAATTATATAAATATATATTAATATTAATTATAATATTAATTATAATATTAAATATATATAAAAATATATTAATATTAATTATATAAATATATATTAAATATATATAAATATATATTCAAATATATATTTAAAAACATATCGTTCTTATCAGTCTATGGAATGATTTAGTTGTAATATCGTAATAATTATGTTAGAATGAAGTGAAGAAACACTGATTGGTTTCCTCCATGCATTTCTAGCTTATAAATAATTAATATAATTCGTTTATTTTTAATGACTACATAATGAAAAAAAGAATCCATTGATAAACGAACGAAGATATGTCACTTTCGATAACATAAATTGCAACTTCTTGTATATATCGAGAAGATTAATAATAATCTAATCTTTCTCTGATATACTATACCTGTATATCCAGGCATGCAATAACACTCCAATTTAGGATTAGATTTCGGACTGAAAGTTTCTCCGCCTTGATAAAATTCGCCATCAACGTTGCAAACTTGTTTCTCTATTTCTTTCACGTCTGAAAAAAA